TTAATTAAGGCTATATGTACGTCCTATCCCTACTTCCATTTTAATATTAGGCATTTTTGTTTGAGTTTTCCACTATATTTCTTTTGTGAGTTTCCTCTGTGTAGATTTCTAACTTGTTGGCTACTTGATTCCTGGGTATTGCCAAATAATTGTGAATGTTCTTCAAATCGAAACATTGGCATTAAATGGAATAAACAACGTATCTGATACTGTTTTTCAAATATATGTAGATGTTATTTGTAAAATATTAAGTTATTTAAAGGCATTATTAAAATCATAGTAGCTTTCTTATAATCTTTTTAAAATCAGTAGATAAAAAATATTCCTACTGTTCCTTGCTTTGACATTGAAATTTTTCAACATTACAAAGGGGCCTTTCTACTCAAAAGTTAGGGAAAACCAGTTTAATATTGTTTAAACATAGTTGAATTTTCACATTACAAATCTCATTTAGAGTGTGGGATTTTGATTTCAGGTCTGTTTGTCTATTTTGTCTGCCTGCCTGTCTACATACCTATCTGTCTACCTTTGTCTGTTGTCTGTATAAATATTATACATTTATCTGTTAGAGAAGGAAAAGTTTCCTAAAAATATTTAGTGTATATAGGAACTATTTTTTTTTTTTTTTTGTAGAAAAGAGGATATGGAATCAGTTGCACTGAAAATTAATGTTTGAATCTTTTCTTTGTTAAAGCATTTATCTTCCAAAGATAATGAAGAGGATATATCTTATGTGATTGAAAGTGATGAAGATTTAGAAATGGAGATGCTTAAGGTACATTTAAAATTATGGAAAAGTTATTTCATGTTCTTTCCAAGTGTTATTTAACTAAAATACTGTTACTTCTAAATGAGGTCCTAGCACAATGAGATTGCTAACAATTATGCAACTTAGATTTATGGTTTCTGATTCATATTTATTTATATCTTTATGTTGTTGTTGTTAGGTGCTGTCAAGTCAGCTCCAAAGAATATTTTAGAAATAATATATGAATTTATTTTTATGTGCTCTATGTTCCCTCTTTTGTCACTTTAAGTTTTTCTTGGGATATGGATAATGGTTAAGCTCTCCATTATTGAAATAGATTTTTATTTCTACCCCATACCTGTGTATTCCTTTTTATTTGTAAGTTTTTATTTTTATATATTCAGTATTTTTAGTTACTATGTTTTTGTTTAATTTACAATGGATATTTTTTACTTATTTTATGTAATTTTCTAGAGTTAAACATGGTTCAGTTTTACCCATTTATTATCAAAATTGAAAGCAGTATTTTGTAACATATTTTCCAACCCTTACCTTAACCTCCATCTTCTTTGGACAATAAGAAAGAAAAGTCAATTTAGCACCTAAACACAGTTGAAAAAAAAAATTAAAAAAGAAAAGTGAATTTAATCAAATAGTTATTGTTGTTATATGCCTTCGAGTTGGACCTGACTCATAGTGACCCCTCCTTGGGTTTCTGAGGCGGTATCACTACAGAAATAGATTGCCCAACCTTCCTTCC